TCCCAAGCGAGTTCTTAACCATCGCGCCACTCGGCCGGCCCAGGTCTCTGGTCCTCAGTTCTTGAAAACCTTCAGAGCCATAAAAGTGAAATGGGTGTTTTGTTTTCATAATAAGCCCCTTTTCACCCCAACTGGGTTTATGTGAATGAAGTTGACTTGGAAAGCACCTAAGGGTGGGATCCAGTTGCCAGGGGAACCTAACTTGAATGGAGGATTGGAACTTTTAGGCCCACTCCCTGATTTCCAGGGCAGGGATAGGGGCTAGAGCTTGAATCAGTCACCAACGGCCATTGAGTTAATCTAGCATGCCAATGTAATGAAGCCTCCATAAAAACCCAAAAGGAAGGGGTTTGGAAAGGTTCTGGGTTGAGGAACCAGAACACTTCCTAGTACCTCTGTGGTAGGCTCCAAACTCCACAAGGACAGAGCCTCTTGGTTCAGGACCTTGCCCTATGTATGTCTATATCTGGCTGTTGATTTGTATCCTTAATATCCTTTGTAATCTAGTGTGTAAACAGATTTCCTGAGTTCTGTGAGCCATTCTAGCAAATTAATCTAGCTCAAGGAGGGAGTTGTGGGAACCTCCGATTTATATCCAATCAATCAGCAGCACAGGTAACAACCTGAACTTGCAATTAGTATCCCGAGTTGGAGGGGGTCGTTGGAGCTTCCAATATGCAAGTCGGTTGGTCAGAAGCACAGGAAATAACATAAACTCTTAAATGGTGTCTGAAGTGGTGGACGGTCTTGTGGAACTGAGACCTTTATCTGTGGAATCTGATGCTATCTCCAGGTAGATAGTGTCAGAATTGGGTTGAATTCTTGGATACCCTGCGGGTGTCCAAGAATTGCTTGTTGGCATGGGGAAGCCCGCCCTTCCCCACCTACCTCCCCCACACAAATACACATGTTGGAATTGGATCCAGGAACGCAAAAGAACACCCTCGACCTGGGAATGGAAACTACAGTTTCTCCACAAACCCACCTCTCTTCCTTTTAAGCCTTCCTGGGCCAACTGCCAGAAACCACACTCAGTTGGTCTGAGCCAGAGATAACAGCTTCCACTGACTTCTGGTGGGAGCTGACTCTCCGGTCAGGCCCAGTTGCTACCCAGATTCCATTCACTCCCACATATCAGTCCAAATCCTGCATAGCTAAGCAGAATCCTCTATACCTGCTTTCTCCCAGTAGCCTGAAGTCAGGGTCTCAGTTCTTATTATTTCCTTGAATAAGAGGATAGGAAATACATTCAATCATCTGTCTCACATTTATCAAGCACCTAGTGTGTGCCCCCTGGCTTGGGTACGGAGGAATCACAGCCTAGTGTGGGCAGCTAGTCTTAGGGATGTGAGATCTATGCAGAGGTAAGTGTTGGCTTCTATTTAATTTTTTGCCCCATTATTTCAGAGTGCTGTAAAGCTCCTCTGATCTTGAAGCCTTACATCAGAATCTTAGACATCTATTGTCTCTTGGGTGGAGGTAGGATGGTGGAGCATGACCTGGTGCCCAGCACAGTGCCTGACTCAGAAATGCCAGTTGGATAGAATCAAAGGTGATGCCTTGTTCTCACCAGTTTAGATTATGTAGCCCGGATGTCATCAATACCAGGTAGGTGGAAGGGGAAGAGGGAAGGCTGCAGGGGAGCGTGGCATGAATCTATTCCCAGGAGGTAGACAAGCAAAGAGAGAGAATCTTATTACAGCCATGCTCTCTTAGCTCTAAGCTCAAGTATCAGGCCTGCCCCTAATATATGCAGGCCTGGTGAAGAGCACAAATGAAGACATGTATCTAAATTTTATAAAGTATAAACCAAGCTAATTGTGAATGATCTAACCACTTATAATGATAAGTGTATCTTCATAACAACCTGTAAGGCCAGGTGTGAATTTAAACTTTTAAGATTCCTTAAAGTTCTGTGCTAGAATATTCCCCAGACCTGGCCCCTGGCCTATAGCCTGCCTCCTCTTCCTCCCTGCAGTCCCATCTTATATTGCAAAGGGCTTTGTGTATATGTATAGACACTCCAGCATGCATATCCGAGCTCTGTCCACCCAGCTCTCTGACAAACAGCTGCCCGTCAGTCACCTCTTGGGCCTAGGAGTGTGCACACCAACAGCACATTTGTTGTTGGGACCCAGAGAAGAGGCACCAGAAAGCGAGGCTTGGCAAGATATGCTAGGATCCTAGGTACTAGGAGGGCGGTCTAGAAAGAGAAAGGGCACATCCATTTGACCCTGCACCCCATGGCGAGGATTGTGGCTGGAGGGCTAGGGGCAGGGCCATCTGAGGTGGGAGTCTAGGGCACTGACATTCGCCGTCTTGTAATGGGATTTTCCAGGCTACATACAACATAGGCAACTCACTGATACTTTCCTGGCCTCTGCCACCAGTTCCCTTATATACCCACCCTGAGAGGTGAAGGAGAAACAAGTAGACCAGTACAAAAGAAAAATACTGTTTATTCCACACAACTACATCAAGTGCTTCTCCCTTCCCCACCCCTCACTCCAACCCTCAGCAGGTTTTGCCCCCGGTCCAGAGGACAGTTCAGAACCTCCATGTCAGAGCCTGACCTATGAGACAAGAAGGGAATCTAGGCATAGGAAGGTGATTAGATTTCCAAGGGCACAACAGTGTCTCTCATTCTAAATTCAAGTGTGTTCTTCTACCCATTTGGCCAAATTCCTTCCCTGGACCCCACCTAGATAAAATACCACGTGTAGTGCAGGATCAAAGGCCCCAGATAATTCGCCAGGCCATAGAAAGTTTTGGTCTTTCTTTCATTGACAACAAACAAAAACCACACAGAAACTGTGAAACCAGTTCTGGCCTTTCTCCTGCCTTTCCACGGCAAAGGAACCACTGAGCTCTGGCTTTAAGTCCAGAAAGGTGCTTTCAAAACAAAATTTATATCAACTCTCTTTAGAGCCTGATGCTACCAAAAACAAAACAGAAAACCCACCTCAGAGTCACAGCTGCTTCCCGGAAGCCCTACGGTGGGGGAAGCAGGTTGGTGGACTCTGCTTTGGGCACACTTCAGGGACACCCTATACCTCCGTCTGGGGAATTTGGTCTGCGAATATTCTGCCTCTGGTATCGTTCCTCTGAAAGATCTACCCATCCTTCCTGCAGAGGAGAAAATGGTTTAGTTCTAGCCCAGACTTGGGAAGACAGATTTAGACGAGGGAAGAGCTGAGAAAGCATGGCCAGGCCTAATTTAGAGCAGCAGTTCATTATCTTTTTCCTGCTCTGACACAGGACAGATGGTGTCCTGCATATCCACTGCCTTGGACACACCCTAGATTATATGCTACTCCCAGAGTACCAGCCATGACCCACTTGTCTCCCCCAAAAAGAAAGCAGATCTGGGGCCGGCCGAATGGCTCAGTTGGTTAAGAGCTCGCTCAAGAGTTTGAGCTCTGAGCAACAGCGGTTCGAGGCCAGCCCGAGCTGAGCAGCCGTTAAGCTGCCAATAGGTAGCAGGATGGCTCAGCTAAAAAAAAAAAAAAAAAGAAAGAAAGCAGATCTGAATGCAAGTGTTGAGGGTGAAAATTTGAATTTCTCTAATTTATTGAAGTGTAAATCACTGAATCCTTAATAAACTCTGGTACTTTATTACTGAAAATTTGTTTACGATGCCTCTCCCTAGTGAGCAGTTCATCTCATTGAGACAGGCTGATAACCCTGAACTTGAGTATTGAGTCTCCCCCTTAGAGACATTCTCTCCTGGGAGGTTGGGGCAGGCAAGGTGCCCACCTGCTTCCTCACTCCCACCACACTCTGGCAGGTTTAGTTGGTCACAATGCAGTGGGGCGGGAGTGTGTGTATGGCAATTTGACACACAATTTTCCTCTAACTGGCAGGGCTACCAAGAGGGTGGTCACGCTGGCACTGTAAGGCCTGGGAGGGACCAGCTGTAGGCAGGAAAAGAGACAGCATGCCAGAGGAAGAGAGGCTAGGAGGTGGCTGCACTGGTGACCAGCAAAGGCAGTGATGTGCCCTAGTGTGGCCGTCACTTCCTCAGAGTGTATCATGTGAGGTGCGATGGAGGGCAGCTGCTAGAGACCTGGCTCTGTAAGGGCAAGAGCATTAGAGAGGAGGTGGCTGACTGCTGTGACTTGTGGCCTTTTAGGGCTGGTCTACACAGCAAGGCTGGGCTCACCTAAGCAAACCTCTTAGAGCTCTCCAGACTCCATAGTCACATGCTGAGTTCCAGGGGTTGTCCAGCCACAGGGAGACTGGGAAACTCACTTAGCAGCTTGGATGAGATGCCAATCCCCAACGTGCCATAGTTACCCTCTCTAGAGGCAAAAATCGTCCTGCTCTAGGAGTATTCTTGGATCAGTGGAGCACTGGTGGGTCGGGAATGGGTGGGCTGCTTTCACAAGCAACACAGGGCCTAAGACTCTGGGCGAAATAAGATTTCTCCTCCAGTATCCAAGGCTCAAAGTTACAGAGAAAATTAGAGTTAAGTCATCTTCTGCAAGAGATCTTCGTGGGCTGCCATCAGCTGTTTCTGGGTGTTGGCCTTTCACCCAGGGCCTTGCTGTCTGGTTTATTGTTTAATTTGCCCCTTTTGAGAAGGCCCCAGTCCAGGGTTGGGGGAGAGTGTGATGACAAGGGAGTCAAGATCCCTTTCCTCATTTTTCTCCAAAGTGCCTGCTTACTTGGGCAGTGGGATTATCCAGGCTGCAAATTCTCTTAACCCACACTGTCTTGGGAGGATACGGTCACGGACAGAGATTAAACTGAAATCTGGGGGGATGGCCTTATTTACTAAGTTCCCAACCTGCCATAGACCCAAGGTCAACTCCAAGACAGCTAGAGTTCACTGTTGCTTCCTTCCAACATGGATTACAAAAGAAAAGTTTCTGCTTTAGTGCAATTTCCCCCCAAAGGAACCAGGGAGAGATGAGAGAGGAGATGACATGTTCTGGCCCCAGGGCTGTGGAGCCTTCTGACCTTGAGGTCAAGGCAGACACTGAGTCTGGCCTTCTGAGCAGCACATCACACTTTTTGGAATTATGTCTCTTGGGTCCTTTCAGGGGACAGTGTGCCTGTCGGCAAAGTGGGGTGAGGCTGCGGTTCTACTGGACGAGACTGCCATAGCTGCCACACTCACACAGAGGAGCAAAGGAGAGCAGAGGGTGGAGAGAATGCCATTGCAAACAAGAGGTAATGGCCAGTCCTTAGGGGCTGCTGCAGCCCTGCCCCAAAGATGGGGAGTTTCTGGTTCCCAACCAGAATTCACCCTTCAAAAAACATGTTAGCAAAGTGCTTCTTTAAGTGACACCACAAATCCCCTTTCTTGGCATGACCTGCCCCGAGCCTGGCACTCTCGATGGGCCCCTCTGCCCTCCCCATCATGTGCGATATGTGGGGGAGGGAGGGAGGCAGCTGACGCACATGCACACAGCACAGCCTCAAGACCCAGGACAAGCACAGCTGCATGTGGCAGAACGACAGGTGCTGTCACAGCTTTGGGTGCAGACAGGTGCCAAGGGACAAGTACAAAGTGCTGGAACACAGGGCTGGGGGCGGAGCCCTAAGGGATCTGAAAGACGTTCAGCTTGCTGGTGTTCTTGAGCGTCTGGCGCCGATTGCAGAACCAGACCCGCACGACCTCCCGGTCATAGTTGAGCTCCTTAGCAATCTCAGTGATTTCCTGGCCGGTGGGCAGTGGGTTCTTCTCGAAGTAGGCATTGAGAGCCTCTATGGCCTGGGGGGTGAAGGAGGTGCGGCGTTTGCGTTTCTTAGAGGGCTCACCTCCCACAAACTCCATCAGGTTCTGCTGGCCTTCCTGGTTCCGGAGCTCGGCTTCATTCAGCCACTTCTCCAGCACCGGCTTCAGCTTCTGGGCACTCTTGGGTGTGATGTCCAGCTTCTCGAACCTGTAGGTGGCCCAACCCAGGAAGGGACAGTGAGGGTGTCTTACTCCCCACACGCGGGTGTGAGCACTCTCCTCAAGGGGCTGCTCCTCAGGCTGGTGAGACTACTCAGTGGTCCCCACCCCACCCCCACCAAGACCCCCTGGCTCGGTCCAGCCCAGACTCCTCCGACTATCCCATATCCCAGGTCATAGCTGAGGGACTAGTCCCATGGCCTCAGTTGAGTAGTGCAATGAACTGCTTTATGAACAACCATTCCAGAACTTTCACACCCAAATGAGTGAGGAAGTCCTTTGAGAGTCATCTAGAGAGGCCTCCAGAAATGGCAAATGGATGTCATGAGTGCTCTCCTCCCCCAACTGCACTCTCATAGCAACATCACTGTCAGACTACTCTTTCCAGTTGAGCCCAGATGTGACTACAGAATTCCCAACATGGCACTGGGTCTAACAGTCACTCTAGTCTATCTAAGGAATTGGAAGGCAGGTGAAACCTTTCGGCCATCCCTGAGCAATGCACCCATTCTTGTTTGAAACCCTCCGCTACCCCTCCCATGATACCGGCACTAGAACCAGTCTGTATGCTGCACACAGAAAAACCAGCTACATCGCTTTAGAGTCATGTCTTACAAGATGGGGAGATGGGAGCATGATATGGGGTGATGGTGGGGTACAGTTGAGAGCCAAGCCAAAACTGAAGTTTCCACCTTTGTAATTCACTTCATAAGCTGTACTCCTTTCCCTTTAGGAATCCTGAATGGATTAGGGTCTTGAGTTCCCCACAAAAGACCATATAAATGCTCAGGATTGGAGGACACACATCAGAGAGCCCTCAGAAGGACCCGATCAGTCTTTGGCTACTCCAGGTAGAAGAAGGCAGGAGCAAGGGAGGCTAAATGGGTCAGATACCCAGATCCCTGTGAATGCCTAGTGGCACAGGTGCCTGAGCAGGCCCTGACCGCCCAGGCAGCCTTACTTACCGGCAGATGGCTGACTGGCTGTAGGCTGGGCCTTCTGTCGCAGTCAGAGCCTGACCCACCTGGGTCTGTGTGAGGCCCAGGGATAGCCTCCGGATCTTAAAGTTCTTGGCAAACTCCCGGATCTCTTCTAAGTTGATCCCGTCCTCATCCAGGCTTGGGGTATGTGGCTCTAGGCCAGAGGAAGGGACCAGGGGTGAGTGTAGGACAGATAATCATCACTGCTTATCTAGCCCATTGGCCTGGCCTGGTGCAGAGGGATGAATGGCCTGCACACCCTTAAGACCCTCATTAATCCTGTCCCCAAGACAAGCGAGAGGTGGGGAAAGGGGCCCAACCTATCTGGAGGTATGGATCTGTTTTCAAGTTCTTCCAGCTCTAACTGCTGACCCTCCCCACCCTCCCTACTCCTGGCCCCCAAGCACACCTGTTGGCCATCTATATTCCTCAAATATCAGGCAAGAGACTACAGGAGAGACAGCCAAAGGCTTGGCTTATCAGAGAAGCAGCCTCCACTATCATCATGCCTAGAATCCAGCTCAACAGGAATGGGAATAAGAAAGCCAGTCCCTGGCATTGGGTGCCTGCCCTTCCCCTTGGACTCCAGGGAGTTTATTAAGGAGAGCAACATCTAAAGAGGTTGGGTGTCCAAATAAATGTCTCTCCCCACTCTCCACAACTTCCTCCAAGGAGCCACTTACTGGACACCAACTGGCTGACAGTGGGTGTTTCTGAGCAGGTAATTGGGATGGGAGCAGAGGCAGATGGCTTGGCTGCTGGGACTGGGCTGGTGATGACCACAGCAGGCTGGGGCACGACTGGCGTGGGTTGGATGGGCTGCACCTATGAGAAGAGAGCCAACAAGCCCCTATTGCCCACCTGTTCAGTTCAACAGGTTCGAGTCCCTGTATGTACCGAAGGCAGGGCAAAAATGGGCATGAAATCTCCACTCATCCAGCACACTCCTACCTGTGTCCCACCAAAAAGCAAGACTAGAAGCTACTGATTAGCACCCACCCAATGATAATGACCACCAAAATAAGCACAGCAAGATGTCCCACCAAGCTGGAGCCGTGGAGCCACCTGTGTGTGACACAGGCAGGTCAGAGGCTCAGAAAGTTTCAGTCCACTTTGTCAAAGCCCCAACAAGTGTCCACCTTTGATATAACTGCTCTTAAATTTCTGCCCTCAAAGGAGAAACCTAAACTTGATTCTAGAGCCTCCCAGGCCCCAAATGTCCATTAATAGGGAACCGGCAAATGACATCTGGAACCTCCCTACGGTGGGACAGTGTGCAGCCATTAAAAAAAAAAAAAAGAGGTATATGTCTTAGCTACCGACATGGAAAGAGCTCTGAGTCATAATGCTAAATGGAAAAAAAAAATCAGGTGAAACACAGTTTTTGTGAATTAGTTCCTTTAAAAAACACATGTAAATTTCCAGGAAAAAAAATCTTGAGGCATATAAAACAAGCTGTCAACAGAATTCATCTCTGGAGGTGGAAGCAGAAGGGATTTTTACTTTTTTACATCACATATAAACTTGGAATTTTTTATAAAAACCATGTGTCATTTATAATCAGAAGAAACTATAAATATATGAAATTAGTATTTTTAGTTTTTTAGTTTTTTTTTTTAAAGAACTTCCTGCAAAGTTCAAATTTCTCTAATGTGGGTCCTGTTCCTCAGATTCTACGTCCTGGTAGCTCTCAAGTCCACATATTTTTCCTTCCCAGGGCCTTAGCCTTAGTCTAGAGCTCCTTGTCTCTTGCTGTACTGTTTCAACTGCCTCCTAACAGGTGACAAGGACTCAAGTCTCACCACAGTCCAATTTTTGGCTCAACCTGGATAATAGAGGGAATTTTTTTAATGCACATCCACTCAGCCATTTCTCTGCTAAAAACCCTTCCATGACCCCTCGCTAATAATAGTGATAACAATAAAAGCACCGTTTCTCCAGTGTTTTCTGTGTAGCAGCATTAATTGCCTATGTGTAATATATCCTTTAACACTCATAAGCTTCTGCAGTGGGTCTTCCAGTAATCTCCATTTTATACATGAAGCTAAGAGGTTATTCACCAAGCTGGGAAGCAGGATACCACACTTAGGAACCACAGGGCTCAACATCAACTGGGAACTTGTTAGAAAGGGGGGTTCTTGGGCCCCACTTGGGACCTACCGAATAAGAATCTCTGGGGTGGGGCTTGGGAACCTGCAATCCAACAAGACCTCCAGGCAGTTCTGACCAACACTCAGGTTTGAGAACCCCTTCTTTGGAACACTATGCTTCTTGAAATTTCCTAAAGGTACAATCCTCTCTCATCCAACTCATCCCTTGAGATTAGTTCAATGTCCCTTCTCTATGAAGCCTTGTTCAACTCTCCCGTCTGTTGGGACCTCCCTTCTCTGGGTTCCCTTATCGTGCCCCTATCATAGTGTTTGTCAGGCTCCTTGTAATTGTCTCCAACGCTGGGCTACCTAAGGCTGGGAAGGGTATCTTATTCATCTCTATATCTTCAGCACTTGGAATATAGTAGGCACTCAAACACTGCTCCTAGAATGAACAAATAAATGAATAATCAAAGCCACAGTGCAGAGTAGAGGAGTGGAGGGATGAAGGGGGAAGAGAGAAGGAGTGCAGAACTAACCTCCCGTGACTTTTCCGGCAGTTTGTTCACCCTGGATCAAGGCCCGGTTTACTTTGACCACCTCCTCCCTGGCCTTCTCAGAGTGGCACTGGCCTCTGAGGGCAATAGACATGTTTTTGGTGTGTGTGTGGGTGGGGCGGTGAGGAGGATGCTGTTTCCATGGGCAGAACATGTGTGACTCAGAAGGGCTTTCTACCCTGGGACCTCCCCTCACTTCGGGGAGGTGCCGTGCTTTACCAGGGGCTTCAGAAAATAATCTTGTCCTGCCCGCAGCCTGGAGAGTGGCAGCCCATGCCAGACAGCACCGCCTGCCCCCACCCCCAACCCCAGCCCTGGTACCTCACTCTTAGCAGGGGACTCAGGCGTGCTTGGCTTCCGGACAGCCACTGGTGGAGGCAGGGGGCTGCTGGCTAGGGTCGCGATCACCTGGCCCTGGGCATTCAACAGCAGCTGGGGGGTCACGGCCTGGACCTGCAGGCTTTGGGCTGGTGCTGGGGCTGCCACGCTAGCCGAGTTCACTACCCACGGAAGTGTTCCAATAACCTGGGAGGAAACAAGGCACCCTAAGTGTGAGGGCAGTGTCCAGCTCCACCCTTAACCCAAATCCCCATACTCGCAGAGAAAGGGACTTATCTAAGGATGAATCACTTAATCCCTCTGGGTCTCAGTTTCCTCCTCAATAAAGTGAAGAATTCATACTCTTGGGGCTGCTTCCTTTATTCTAGATCCAGAGCCGTGGGGGAACAGGAATAGGTCTGCATGTGGAGTCACACAGGCCTGGATGTCACTCCCTGCTCTCCCACAGTTTAGCTGTGACTTAATTTCTCTGAACCTCAGTCTTCTCCCCTATACAATGGGAATAAAAGTCTCCACCTAATAGATCTGTACTCAATATGAGTACATATGAGAAAGCACTTAGCACAGAGCCTGGCCACAAAGTGGGTGCTCCATAAATGAAGTGGGTGCTTACCCCAACTAGAGTGGGTGCCTATAGGGCAGGATGGTAGCTATGCCCCTGCCTGGTCTCAGCATCAGCAGAAAGCTGCCACACAGGTGATAGGAACAGCAACCTAGCACCCTGTTTGAGTTTCTATGACCCTCGGCCCAAGTCCTGGCCCCTCAGCTAGTTTTTCCACAGCCCTCACCCTTCAGCCCTGACTTTGACCACTTGCCTGTCCCTGAGCGTTCGTGAGGATCTGGCTGCTGATCCCCGGCATGCTGGGAATGGCGTTGGCAATGACCGGAGTTGTAGTGAGGGAGCCCAGGATCTGGGTCTGTCCCCCGAGGGAAGCAGCACTGATCTGTGGGTGGAGGAAGAGCCTTGCTCAGAGGCTGAGGGGCAAGAAAGAGACCAATGCAGAGGGAAAGGGGCTCAGGGCATTGGCGTGGGGAGGTAGGGATAAAGGGCAGATAGGAATGTGGGCAGCAGGCCCATGTCCACCAGCTGAATAGTATCCAGGGCTAGGGGAGACAGGGGGTCAGCTGGGAAGGGTGGGGCCACAGCCATGGAAGAGTAACTGGCTAATCTTTCAGGCCAGGCCTGGAAAGGAAGAAGGGCCAGACTGGGGTGCTTGATGTGATTCTAGTCACATCTAACAGCTCCACTGCCAAGCCAGGAGCCATATTGGACAGACACTGGCACGGGGCTGTGAGCCTTTAGTAACAGCTCACAAGTTTGCAATCCCCAGACATCATCCCACCCTCCAAGGCTGGTCCAGTGGTTCAAGTGCTGGAGACTTTGCCCAGCCCTCTTGGCAGAGGTTGTCTGCTCTTGTCTGGGATGGGCGGGCTGACAGCTGCAAAGAGAAGGCTTCCGAGGGAGCCCATCTCTGCTGGTGTGTTGGAAAAGAGCCGTAGTCAGGGGGCTGATCCTCTATCTCCTTCCTCCCGTCAGTTCCACCCTTGGCCCAAGATTCGGTCCATCCCTCGTCAGCCCTGGTGAGGGCAGCAGCTTACGATTCCCGGGCTAAACGCGAAGCCTGCAGGCTGGACGGTGATCTGTGGGGGGGTGTCCACTGGCTTGGGGGTGGGGGCAGTAGCGGTGGCAGCAGTGGGCTGCGGTAGAATGGCAGGTGTGGTCTGTAGCAGCGGTGGGGTCTGGAACAGCGTCTGGGGTTGAGCTGGTGGCCGGGGCTGGGCGGGCGAGGAGGCCTGTGCCGGTGGGGTGGCTTGTACGGGTGCCGGAAGAGCGGTGTTCAGCACGGCAGCTGCTATGGAGCAAGGCAGAGACAGAGGTGCTCAAATGCCTAGTAGCAGCCCAGAGCAGCTCCAATCCCAAGGGATCTGGTACAAGAATGAGAGGGGGTTGGGGCACTGGGGCAGGGGGGACAGCGGCTCTGATTCCCTTGATCTTTGCAGGGGGCAGCACAAGCCAACATCTCTCATCCCCCCTCCCTTGGGTCTGGAGATGTGTAGGTTCAAAACCAGAAGTTGCATCTTCTTGCAGTCCTTCTCAGGAAGCTGGTCATGGGGTGAATTCTGGCGTGGGGGAAGAGGGGCAGTCTCAGACAGTTGGCAGAAGTAAGAGGCCTGCTGGGCCAGCATGGTGTCATGGCCTAGAGTCCCGAGATGGTGCAGTATCTCTGTGGCTGGGTGCCTGGGACACCGGATCCAGACTCCAGGGTTCTTGCCCTGGGTGAGCTGCAGGTTCTGAGTCCAACATGGCAAGCCCGCGTGCAGGAATGGTAGTGTAGGGTTGTGGGGGGCCTGGTGCAGTCCTGGGGAGAGCTGCCGTTACCTTGGAGACCGGCTAAAGGTGGTTTGAAAATTCCCCCCGTAGGAGAAGCAGAGGTCAGTCCTGGGAGGGCAGCCACGGTTGCTGTAGGAATTGTCCACACGGCCAGCCCCTGCTGACCAGCCACTTGACCTGCAATACTGATGGGGATAAGAAGAGGTTGAGTAACTGCCCCTGCTGGAACCATAACTCCTGTCAGAACTGTGGCTAAGTTTTCCTGAGTCAAGACCTGCAAAAGCAAACAAGATTTCAAAAAGAAAAGAAAAAATAAAAAATCAACATTGACAGCGCAAACACTGGGTCTCTCGGACCCAGTTGAGCACAAACAAAGCATTCTGAGGGCAGTGGGGAAAAGGCCACATGAAGGGTGGGGGGAAAAGATAAGCCCTAGCTGGAGGCCCAACCCTGAGGGGAGGGGGTGCCTGGACTGGACGATCCTGCCTTCAGAGAAGCCGTCCAAAGCGAGGACAGGGCCTGGCCCCGCTCACAGAACAGCAAAAGATGCACAGGCCTCTTCTACTACAGATTGCTGCCTCCCAGGCCTTCCTGAGCTCCTGTCCACAAGACCAGCACTTTGTGGCCAGGAAGCAGGGGGCAGGGGCTGGTGGAACTAAGTGGTCAAGATGCCTCTGGGAAGCTCTGATGGAGGCTACCCTTGATGGATGCCTTGGAGACCTGTGCATATGGCATAAGGTCACAGGGAGCTCAGCACGTCTAGAAGATCCTGGAGATAGCTTCTCACTGTCCTGGGGCTGCCCCTCTGACTCTAAATGAGGACTCTGTGAACAATGCATTAACTCTTCCAGGCATCCACTGGAGGGGCCGGCAGGGTATTCACTCATTTAGTCACTAGAGAAACAGGAAGGCCTGTGACATGAAAGAGTTAATGTAATCTCTACAGTCCTTGCTGGACTCAAGGAGATGACCTGGCAAGCAAAGATCTACTTTTCCCAGTGGGCCTGATCTGGGAAAGGGGAGAGGCCAGAGGTGCCTAGTAGGGGATTCCCTCCCTCAAGCCACAGCCCCTTCCCTGTCCTGCCTCGTGAAGTTTCCAGAACCCATGGCGACCCCATCTTGGTGGTCCCATGCCTTGCTCCTGCCCACTGCTCTCTATCTAGCTCCCCAGGGTGGCTCTTACCTGGGGGGCAGCTTGTACAGCCAGTGGTGTCAGGGTCTGTGAAGTCTGAGGCTGGTTTGGGGCTTGGCTGAAGGTGGCGAGAGCAGGGGCAGGGCTTGAAGGGATGACCGGGAGTGACTTCACTTCACATGGCATTGAGAGAAGGAAGGACAAAGAGTGAGCCTGATGTGAGCCGGGGAGTCACCGGACTAGAATGTCTTGTCTGCAGTGACAACTCTCAGGCCCACAGTGTATTTCTGCATAACCCAAGACCAATCATTGGCTTTCCCTGACCCAAGAGGCAGCTTCCCAAATGCTACTGGTAGTGAGACTAGGAGGTCGGAGAGCCCTGTGCCAGACCTAAAAGGTAGGACCCCTCTTCTCACATTTAGATTTTTAAAATGTAGGCATGTAGGCCTGTGCAGAATTGGGTATCAGTCTCTCATTTCCTGGCTCTATAGGACACTGATTAGGTGACCTATCACCTAATCAGTAAAGGGGCCTGAAGAGAACATGTGTCAGGGATGGAAGGAGATAGAATCAGTGGGAGCAGCTTCCCTTGGTTCATCCAGCAACTGGATGATAGTTCACCCCACCTTCAGGCTACTTTTTGGATTCAGGTGCTGCTTGGGAGCGGGACAAGGATTCTACAAAGTAAAGTCCTTGACAGGAAAGTCCCCGAAAATTGGACATGTCTTTGCCACACTAGGGGTCATCACGGCTCTCCAGGCCAAGCAGCTATTCTCTGCCAGCCCCGGGGACCTGAAGTCTGGATGAGCAGTTCAGTGAACTTCTAAAGGGATTTCCTGGGAACCGGCACTTTTCACTCAGGTTGTAGTTTCCTCTGATTGCCTTGATTTAGTCAAGTTCTGAGGACCCCCGCCAGGAAGCCACACACCAGTGAGGAGAGGAGTTATTACTTAATATGTTGTGAGGCATAGAAAGGAGTCTAAGTGTTGGGTGATGGGGATTAGACCAGATCAGTGGCCTCTTAATACTGGCTGGGCATAGATTTCCAGGCCCTAGTCTAGGCTTACTGATTCAGAATGTCTCGGGGTAGAAGCCAATCACCTTTCCTCTCTCTCTTTTTGCTTTTTAAAAATATTTTAAATTTAATTTTTGAAATTTTCAATTATAGTTGACATACAATATTATATTCATTTTGGGGGCACAACATACTGATTAGACATTTATATTACTTAAAAAATGATCACTGATAAATCTAGTACCCATCTGACATCATACATGGTTATTACAATATTATTGACTATATTACTTATGCTGTACCTTACATTCTGTGACTGTTTTTATAACTGGCAATTTTTACTTCTTAATCCTTTTTTTTTCTTTTAAGCTCCCTTGTGATACAGCACACAGCCACAGTGGGAACCGCTGAATAAGATAACCTTCTACCCTGCATTCCCAGCCCATGTTTTAATTCAACCTAACTCAGGACTATACTATTTACAGTACATAATAAAAAAAAAAAATTCAGACTGTTTAGGGAATTAAAGAGACAAGCAAGCAACAACAAAAGCCTTATAAAATATGAAGAGAAAAGAAAATGACAGATTTATCTCCACCACAGAGGGGAGATACATTTCCAACTGTTATAAAAAAAAAAATCAGAGAAGATAAGGATAATCTGAACCTAGGTAAATTTAAAAAAACATTTTGCTTGACAAAATGTAATTAACTATAAAAAGGAAAGTGGGAAAATGGGAATGTATGATAAAAGCTTACCATCTAAACAAATGAAATATTCATTTAATTAGAATATATTTCCAAAGTAGGACCAAGGGTACATACATTTAGGACTTTTGACATTACTTGCTAGACTGCTTTTCAGAAAGATTAAACCAATTCATAGAACAATGTACCTATTTCTCCACAGCCCCACCCAATATAGCTTTTATCACTATTTATTTTTCTGGCTTAACAGGCATGTAGTACCTTTTGGCCAATTACTTTTTTTTTTTTGCTCATTGACAGCAAGAGTTTGTATTTTTCTATGTGCCGACTTCTTCCTATGTAAACAACTGATTTCTCTTCAGAAGGATTTGAGTGGACTACATCTCAAAGAAAAAAAATTTTCAAAGGATCAGTACAAAAACATTCAAAGCAGCACTAGTTATGACAATGAAAAACCAAACAATCGACAATAGCCTAACCCAGAACAGGTATGTGAATCTATGTTAATAAATGAAACGGGTAACCAAAATAACATGGGGGTAAGTGTCATACTACATAGTCTATCCTCACTGGCACAGCTGTAAAAATACATATGCGTGAGAAGGGCTGCGTAGTCATTTAGAGTGCCATAAATCATTAGATTTTTTTTTTTACCCTGAAAAAGTTTCTTATTAGTTTTGTTTTAAGAAGAAATGGTTCCCAATATTGCATATCTAGAAAGGTCCCATAAAGGCCACAGTCTAAGCTGGCATCTTCTTAGGAGGTACCATCAAAATACCTCCCTTATCTATTTGACAATGATTAAAATTCGTTTCCAGAGACTTTTGTGAAAGGCTTAAATATACCAACCTCTGGAAGAAGATGCACACTACCATAAACACTCATGCTAAAGTGTAAATAATTGATTTAGGATCTATTTCCGAAACCAAGTTTGGGTAAGGAGCAGAACTAAGGAAACAGGAGAAATGAGGTATAGAATATAAGTAAAAGGGTAAGTGGAGAAACTGTGGATAAACCTGGGAAACTTCCCACATTTTCTGAAAAGGGGTTCCACCCCCACAGAGGAAAGGGCACTGGCCTGTGGGAGCAGGTAATACACCATCCTGGCCTGAACACGGAAGCAGAACATTTCCAGGCTAGGGAGAAATGGTCATGTCTCTTGTCATACCTTTATTCAAAAGGGGAAGAAATAACCCAGCTTACTAGGGTCCCAGATGAATCTGCACACTGATTTACAGATAGAACAAGGGATGGGAGTTCTTGTAGTTTCCTTGTTAAGGAGTTGCTGATCCCCGGAAGCCTATCTGTTCTTATTTGCAGTCTTCTTGGCTCCTCCCCTTGGCCCACCCGCACCAGCGCAGATCTCCAATCGAGGGAAGGGAAGATAAG